TTTTTGTTTTGTTGTTGTTATTTAAGGTCCCATCAACATCTAGGTCATTAGCGACCACTATTTCATGTAACAGTATGGTAACTGTCTGGGTGACACAGTATGGTGATTATAGAAGGTGAAAGGATGAACACAATACAACCATTCCCACGGCAGGATTTGAACCTGCAAACCTTTGGTCAGAGATCGCTACGGCACTACTGCCTTTGCGATCTCAGCCTTCCGGACTGACGCACAACATCCTTTAGTTCCTAGACTTTTAGATGAAAGAAAAAATTTGTAATAATAGTATGAAGCAAATCATATCCATGTAATTTCTGCATGCCTCTTATCGAGCTTGGAATTTGTCTTTTACCTTATCTATTCATTTATGAATCAGTAATTTTTGTTGAAGCAGACTTTCAGGATGATAAGAATTAATTTTCATTGAATACAAATATCTAATAATTTTATCACACATTTCAGGAATAATATTCATCACATATCTGTATCAACAGCTCACTACAAAAAAATCTACTTACAGCATATGAATGTCTTTTTTGTTGTGTTTTGTAAGTGTCAGTACAAAGTTTCAATACAAATTTCAATACCAAAATAAAATATTTTCAGCCACATTTCAGTGTCTATATAATTGGAGATTATATGGACCATCAAAAACCAAAATACATATTATTTGTCAAAGATGTTATTGCATTTGTTACTATTTCTCGACTGTATAATTCTAAATGCCTGTAACAAGTATTATATATTAGCATGAGAGTCATTGGCAGTAATCTTGATGAGTTTTTTTTATCCAGTTTCCCTTGATACATTGAGTAAACCTATTGAATGTTTTGTAGTCATAAATAGAGTCCGGAAGAAGAATGTAGTATGAAATGGCAAAATATGTACATAATATATAGTATATCAGATTAAAGTTCACTAAAAAAAATTTAGTATACTAATGCAGCACAACTACACCATTAAATCTTTTTCAACCCCCCCCCAAAAAATATTCACAATTTGAACTTGCATTAAAAAAAATTATTGAAACAAATTTAAAAATTAATATTTTGCTCTGCCTACTGAGTTTAATATAACAATACTGATTTTTATCTTTGGTAGTAATGAGAGCAATGGTTTAAATGTAGAAACTTTGATGATCAGCAGAGAATAACAATGGCGTTCTCCTCAAAGTGCTACACACCTGTTACAATCAATATTTCTCGGAAATGACAATTTATTACAAAAAAAAAACTCTCTGTTACTTTTCATGCCTAAAGGTAATATTCTCAGCATTGTTGCATGCTTGATGTGGCTTAGACCAAACTGATGCTGATTAACCCAAATAGACAACGTGCATCTGGGCAGAAGAGCACCTACACATGGACTCTGCCCTTCAATTCTGGCAATTCTGAATTTGTGCAAGAAAAAAATATGCTGATTTCTTAAAAATTAGTTTTGAATCATATATTATTGGGAAAATAATTTGAAGATATTTGGTAGAGTTAAAAGAAAAGTAACAAATCAGTACAATACATAAAATATCTAATATAGTAGAAAGTGTGTAACGAAAAATGGGCATTTTTGGTAGGATGCAACAATATATCAAGATCACAATTCTGAGAACTGAACACAGAAATACAAAAGTATGTAATTACATAGGAATCCAGACTCTAGTCACAAATGTAGTTTCACTATTTATGAATGTTTTTTGAATTCTGTGAGGTGCAGTGCAGTCAAATATACATCCCCCATGTTCTGGGTAGTGAGACTACATCTTCAATTAGTGCATGATAAGGGAGAGGAAAGAAAAATCTGTAGGCCATTTGCTGATGAAAATAAGTTTCTAATACATGTAAGTGAATCTTTCTGTGTATAAAATTTTGCCAAAACTGCTGACCAATTTAGTAGAGAAAAGGTGCTGGGATAAGGGTTGTGGAGCTCAAGAAAAATTCAAATTTTAACTCTCCCCAAGCATCTTGTATGCCAGTTTTTAACAGATTTTTTGTTATTAAAGAAGTAAATCAATAAATAAGGCCCAAATGAAAGTATAAAACATTTTTTGCACTTTGTTTATGTTGGATATCCTCTTTTTAAGAAAGCATGACACAGGACCTCATCTCGATTAATGCGATTTTCCTGAAATTGAAATGGAGTGTTAATCAATCAGTAAATGTATCAGTAGCAATGAAATACAACTACTTCCATGTAAATTTTGTTGATTTAAATGACAAGATATCAAAAAACTAAAATGACTTTCCAGAATGAATATAAAAGTTTTAATTATTACAGAAATTTTGATGAAAGAATATAATTATATATCATTTAAATTATTTTGCACCATTTATATCATATGTGATGTGCGTCCAACATTTTGATCAGCAAGACTCTTATGTATGTATTTTCTGACAGTTTCAGAACTGATAATGTTCTATTTTTCATTTGCCATTTTAAATGGTTTGTAGTCGAACATTTTTGATTGGTGAAGGTAATTTCCCTGTCTTAAATGTAATAATTGATCTTCATCTCATGATAAACTCTTTAAATCAGATTGGAACAATTTTTTGAAAAAAATGATTAGTTTTCACTTACTTTTTGCTTGAAGTAAAAGCAATTTTTTACAGCTCTAAATTTTAAAATTTTTTCCCCCTTGGATTGAGGTAAGGACACATTTGAAAATGTTGAAGGTCTCATTCTTTAAAAATATTGGTAGTTTTTGCCCAATTTTGAGTGATATATGTACAATATTAGACCAAGATTTTCCCAAAAATGGCTCATATTTTTTCTTTAAACTTTTTGTATGGAGAGTGCACCAAATAATTTGACTTAAACACCATTTTTTGTATTCTTTTGATTTTTAAAAATTTACACACATGTTTTTTATAGATCTCTCACATGTTCACATTATGGACATTCTATATTCATTATTGCATTAATGTATCAAGTGCTTCAAGTAATTCTAACTAAGTTTCTCAATACTCACATTTCTGTGAAAATGAACTTACTGCTCATTTTCGGATACACTTAAAAGACGTTTTTTTAAAAAAAAAACATTTTTCAATGAAAATTTGCATTTAAAAACAGGTTTCCCTGTTCTATGATACTCACAACATCGTATTTCAATTCAACAATTAGGTGTGAAAAATTGAGAAAATACAAAAAAGTGTACTTTAGGTGCCGAAAATGAAGCAACTGAGAAGAGGGTGGAGAAAACCCCCAAAACTAACCCTGGTTAAACTGATTAAGAAACTAACTAGTATGAAAAATCTGTGCTATTTTGTAGCTTCATTAGTTAGTTTTTCTAATACTCGTATGTAAACAGAGTAATACATAATATCGGGAATCTTTCTGTAAGTAATACAGCGGAAAATTGGTTTCGAGATTTCTATGGCAAATACGTGTATTGGTGTTCCCTTATAAGTTGTGAATCCAAAGGTGGGGGCAATGGGGCCAAGCCCCTGTCAAAGGCCTAGAGAGCCTTTCTTTTCCTTCCTTTATTTGGCAAAATTGGTTTAAATATTTATTTATGTTAAAATTATATAATTATTTAAAAATAATTTTATCATATGTACACTAACAAAATTATATACAATATAATAACAAATGTTTATTCTTTAACAAAAATCTATAATTGCCTCTCCAAAATAATTGGCTGGATCTGCCCCTGATACCAAAGAAATGGTTTCTAAAAATGTATGTAAGTCTGACTAACTGAACAAACCTTGCGCTGAAATAGGATTTCATAGGATTTTTTTCAAAATTAAAATTCCTTGATTGCTCTGGCCCAACTCAAGACCTGCAGTTATGAACATATTTCTTTGAATATTGGGGGTTCTTTACAAGAAACATCATGGACATTTTAAACATTTCCTCAAAAATGATTCCAAATTTTATCATTAAATTCCATGAAAGAATAGAGTGAAATGCCTTAATAAAGATGGCAAAGGACAAATTTCAATATCAACGCTGAATTTTTGAAAATTGTTAAAGGTACAAATATTAGAAGGAAGTGTTGTAGCACCTAGTTTTAATAAAGATTTCTGCAAAATAAAAAGAAAGAATGATTATGAACCTGATATGTTTTGATAGCTGAAATAGGAAAGGGTGAAAGAAAATATTACACAGTCCTAGAAAGTAGAGATCTCTTATCAAATGTGTGTTGTTAAAAATTAATGACAATATCCTTCCTTCTTAAAAGTGAGTGCATATCTTCTATATTTCATGGCAATGCCTTAATGCTCAGTGAATTTGATTCTGTAGGGTGCTGGAGCTATTTAGTATTTAAATAAAAATTATTAAATGTGTCTGATTCATATATCATATTAATCAAGATTTTATTGATTGAATGTAGCAAAATATCTGTATGTACTTTTTATAGAATTTGAATATAAATGTAGAAACATTTTTTAAAATTTCATTCATATGTGTATGAATAAATTCTTGAAAACTGCATTGACTGATCTTATAATGTTGGAAATTTTTTTGGAGTAGGAGGTAGCATTGAAAGTGAGGATATGATGCTTTTAGGAAATGGTAAGGGTAGCATATATTTAATTTTAATCAAATAAAAAATTGACAATATGTACAAAAATAAACTCTCAATTAGTCCATTGCATGAAGAAAATGAATATAATGACAAAATTTCCGTAGCCAATAGTCATTGAATATCACAGACTAAAATATCATTCACATAAAGTTTGATTTTTTTACTTCACATTACAAAATGTAGATGTTTTTCGTTCTTTTTTACTCATATTCATACAACAAAATGTTCTTTGAAGTGAAGAAATGTAGTGCTTGGAATCACAGGCATGCGCAGTCTAAAGCAAGGGGGAGGGCAATTAGATTTTTGGACCCCTCTGGGTCCCATTTTACAAATATCATTTTTGTTTACATATAACATACAATTTTTCTAGTAAGTAAATGAAACATACATCAAGGAAAATGAAATTATAATGAAGCAATTAACAAATACAATTTATTTGAAGTTGAACCATTAATTGTGTTCCCAGAATGTTATTGCCCAAAATACTAGCTTAAAAAAACGAAAAATTAGGAATTGATCAAGTTTATGGAAACAAAATGATTTATTACATAGGGCTAAGGGACCATTTTGAAATTTGGCGACAGCCCCGCTGCCCTTTCTTGTGCGCACTCCTATGCTTAGAATGTTGGAATGTAGCAGATAAAAACGATGTTCTTTAGCAAACGATATTACGAAATTCAAAGACAACCTGTATTCACCTGCTTATGAAGAGTCACATGCACACGAGTAACCGCGATGTATAACAAGAAGATATTTTGTAAGCCCTGGTTGATCGCTTGGCAACTCCGCCATGGTGGAGGGAGGGTTGGTGTGGTGCGGTGTAATGTATCAGGGTGGTTCAGTGGACCGGCGAGGTGCTGCCGGGGCGCGCGCGGAGCCGCTTGACGTTCCACTGTACCCAGGGCAGCAGCCGCGCAGTGGGGGTGAAGGTGGGCGTGTCTCCCGAAGAGGACGCCACCCCTGCGACCGTTCCGGAGCACACCAGCGGCGCGCCCGAGTGCACCTACACATCCGCGCAATCAAGCATTACGGTGGGGAAGAGCGAAAGAGAATGCAGTGAGAAAAACATTGCGGACAATAAGGGACGAGAGGAGAAAAGTGAATTGAGAAAAGGGGTAGAAAAATGGCGAGGGGAATGGAGATATGAATGCAGTAAGGGAGAAAAGGGGAAAGTAGGAAGAGAGAGGTAGGAAAAACCAATGTATGAGAACAGAAGAGTGAGGAACAGGGATGGAGTCAGAGAGATACGAGGATGAGAGGTGATAAGGATTCCATTATTTGTTTTTACAAATCCATGTGAAATTTTCCAGAATAGCATTAGCTTCACTTATCAATTAAACTTATTATATAACTCACAAATAAAAAAATACTTTATATTAATAAATCAACTTGGAAATACGAACGAACTATGTGTATGATCGGCAGTGCCAGTTTTTTCCAATTGTTTAAATTACTAAATTTTTTTCAACATTATTTGTTAATATTTCTGTTATTTTCTTAATAATTTCATTCCTGTCTTACATAAAGCATCATTTCTTGACTTGCTCTTATGCTTTTTTTCCTCAAATTTTCAACTGGAAATATCAATATGGAAATACTTTAGTTTAGTAATTTGTACCAACCCCTTAATTTATTCACACTTGCTGCCTCTAGTGAATATTATGGTACACAAAAGCAGGAAATTGCTTTGTGTAATGAATGAAATGACATGTCTTATATATTCCGCCCGGATATAAAATATAATATTTCTGAAAATGAACTAAAATGTTTTTTTTTCCTTTCTGGATTTTGTTGCTATTTACAAACAGCAATGATTTTCAGCTTCTTTCAGTGAATACTGACCTGCAAGTTTTCTTGCTTTGGAAGAATACACATCACCGATTGATTATCATCTTGTTGTAAACTCACTTCTTCACATTGAGTACGCTTCACATCACCTGTACACATAAAAGAGAAGTATTAAAAATAAGAAATTTAAAAGTAAAGTACAGACTATTTTAATACAAAAAAGGAATATGTACTGTATTGTAAAGACCCAAATAATATCAAAATCTTAGTGTCCAGTTAAGTGCTTGAAAGCAAAATTAACAATAACAACTGTCAATGTTTATGAACGTTTCACAATATTAATAATAAAATGTTTGGCGTTCATTTTACCAAAGTTTTTATAAAAATATTTCTTGAAAAATATTTTGAGCAAGTTTGTGATACACGTTCTGAAGTGTTCTTGCAATGTTTACACCTGTAAACTACATAGTCAGCACACGAAGCTCAGTAATTCGGGTGAGAGAGTGAATTTCGCTCCCAACAGCGTTGACTGCTTAGGTTATTAGACACGGAAGTGAGCTGCATATGATATTTTGGGAGGTCGCGGTGGTCCCTGCTGAGCATGAGGGCAGGTGCCAATGTACACATAGACTTGCGATGTTTTTCATTCATCAGGTATCTCCCCCACCTGGGATCCGCCCCAGTCGGGATGCTGTCTAAAGTCACGACTTGTGTGATAGTGCAGTGCATGGAAGTGTGTGTATATGTGTGTGAGTAAGGGGAGAAGATAGGAGAAGGAAGAGGAAGGAAATATCGCGTGCAGTCCTTGGTCCATTTGTTGGAGAACTACACCGGCATTCGTCTGGTATTGATCGAACAAACCCCAGAAAACTACCGCTGGAATTCTCCTCCAGACTGTGGTTGAATTCGACCCAGCTCTGTGCCTTGTGTCGATAATCCGCCGACGTCGGGACAAGAACTCTAGGACGTCCTCTAAGCGATGTATCAGGGGCTACGGTGCTGCTGTTGAGCTATCACAACTGGTCAGTAATTGGAGCCAACAGAGAAAAGAAAAATATCAATTTTCACCGCGCCCGAGGCGGGCTCGAGAGGCTCTCCAAGGTTGACTCAACGGTCGCGAAATGAAACATGTGGTCTTATTAAGAAGAATGCGACAAAAAGCGTCAGGCAGGATCCTCCAGGAATTCCAAAGAGAAGATGAGGAGCGGAGGGCCTCTGTTCGATGCCACGCCTCTGACGTCAGCGGCAGAGGTCCACTAGGTGGTTTCAACCTCTCGGGGCGCAATAAAAGGGTAAAAGAAAAACGAAGAGAGAAAATAAAAAGGAAAGAAAGAATGAAGGAGAGTGGAGGTGTGTGAAATAATTGGTCATGTTTGTGCCGATCAGTTGGAACAAGACGCTAAATCCTTGGATGCGACAGGGTGACGTTGATTTGTGGTCTAAAAGGAATTCTGTTTCTAAGCTTATTTTGCAGAATTTGAATTGCTGCAAACATTTTATATAACAAAAAGAAAATATTTATTTATTTATTAAATATTTATTTGACGTATATTTTACAGACTTTGAACTATTTGAAAGCTATTACAACACGGGAAATAATTTGTGTCATAATGTGTAACCTCGAAAGTAATTTCTCACAATCTAAAAATGACCAATCTTTCGAAACAGTTCAGCATAATCAACCCTTACGTGGACAAATCTACAGATAGAGCGCAACAGTGGTAATGATGGGGATGTTTTAATCCCGTTTAATGGAAAACAATCTATTCTTCAGAGATTTTGGTAGTTTTCATATAAATGTTTAATTCAAACTTTACGGAAGAAACTATTAAGCAAAAATTCTTACCTAAATGATTGTATGACGTTAGTGGTGGTTGTCCACGAAAAACGAGTTCGTGAAACATGTCGATTTCCTTTAAAACATAAGAATAACATCCGTGTTTTCAGAAGTTTATCCTTATATATTTAGTTAACTAGACGTACTTTGTCAATCAAATTTTCACCGTTGAGAAAATTAACATTTCGTAACGAATATAAAAATGTCGGTAGAGTAGAAAACACCTGAAGCCCATTTCTTTATCCTTAGCAACATAAACACAATTCAGGAAATCGGGAGAGGGGCACCGGCAGAGATTTCCTTGTAAGCAAAGCTACTGGCTGCCGACGGCGGAGGCGCGGCGCGGCGCCGGCGCCTGCCCGGGCACCTGCCCCGGCGCCCGCGATCGGCCGTATAACGGCAAGCGGGCGATCGCCTGCAAAGGCTGCCCCGCTACGCACCGGCCCCCTCGGCGGCAACGCCCCCTCCCCGGGCAGAAACCGCGGGGGCAGCGCCCTGCAAGACGACCGCTCCGCAGGTTGAGCGCTCTGATTTATGGGGTTTCCCACGTGCAAGGTCAAGGTTTACGAGACATTCAAAACCAATAGTGGCGCTACAATACATACTTGCTGGCTTTATTTGTCACGGATCCCCATTATTATAATAGTTCAATGACAATGACTTGCAACCAACAGAAAGTATTTCTGCGAGTTTCGAACTCCGATTCCTGAGATTCGATTCTCCGGGTTTCGATGGAGGAAATTCATTTTGGAATAACTCCCACGAATAATTTAGGCGCTAGTGTTCTTTACAGTGAGACGGACAGACCGAAGCAATTCAATTGGCAAGGCGAACGGTAGTTGTAGCCTCCATAATCTATACATTAATACGCGAAGAAACAACTTTGTCCCCCCTTTTAAGTATATTGTCGTAGTAAAATTTTCCTTGTAAACAGAAAAAGCGCAGAAAGATAAAATGTGTGTATAATATGTGTTACATACAATATATTTAATTGAATATACTTTTAGTAATTATAATATAAACTCGTTTATACTGCATTAAGTAAACAACTGGTGCTACAGAATGCCATAGACTTTCTCGTAATAAAGTTTTCTAATTTTCTTGGTGAAGGCTAGATTTACGGTCTTGCCCCATCCTGTAGCTATCCTGCCGAAAAAATATTTTTTTAAAGTTTTCTTAAATGTTCGGGTTCTAAAGGATATGTTACAAATATTACTTTAATAATATTAAAGAAGAATTAAACCTCGCTCTGTATGGAAATTTTGGTTGAAAAATGTGGAGCCATTTTTAAGAAAAAAAACCGTTTAAGCTCAAGTGTAAGTGCAAAATTTAAAGCTCTCTTTCACAGAAATCTATTGAATTTTCGAAAAACTTTGCCGTTGCCTCCAAATTTGCCGTCAGTACGTTCACTCGCAAATGCAATAATGTGTACAAATTGCTGGAAATATGCAAATTAACGGCATGAGAGATATTTAAAAAAATACATTTGTGTAATTTTTGTAAAAACAAAAGATTACAGCAAAATTAATTTTATGACGTCATAAACTGTGCAGTATTCGTATAAAAAGTTTGACGAAAAAATTGGAACCATTTTTGAGAAAACGGCGTTTGAGCGTTTCAGAAAATGCGGACTTTCGAGCTCGCAGAAAAGTTTTGAGTTTTTGAGAAACTATGCAAGACATTATTTAAAGCATATGTACTAGTAAATGCAATAATGTGAACAAATTGCCGCTAATGTAAATATCAACGACGTGAGTGGCTAGTCAAATAATTACATTTTTGTAATTTATGGAAAAACAAAAGAATTAGTAAAATGGTGTTTATATAATCTGATAGAGTACATTTAGCACTATTCCTACCAAAAGTTTAAAGAAAAAATTTGGAGCCATTTTTAAGAAAATCTTATTTTTATTATTTTTCAAATTTGCATTAATTTTCCAAATATTGCGCGAAAACTACTATAAGTTTCAAAAACACCTTAATGAAAGAAATAGCTGCGAGGGAAAAATTACTTGAAGAAAAAAATCTCTTTTCAATTTGATTGTTGTAGGAAGACGCCGAAAATAATTCAGACTTTCGAAATTTTCGAAAATTCAGTGTTAAGAGAGAGAATCCAACATCTTCCACCTTTATAAGTGCATTTTTCTCTATTCTTAGAATCAATTTAATTTATTCAATAATTTATCACGGTCCGGCAATAAGAATTTGCCTGCCGAAAATTCGCGGTTTTTGGCGCAGCATTACATAACTTTATTTCTAGTGCGTAAGAGGTAGTGAGTATGTAACGTTATGTACATACACATACATACATAGCTTGCAAGGGCCGCAGGGAACCACTGTGCGTGCTTTGGCACTACAGCTCTTTACGAACTAAGGCCTACCAGCAGCGGCCCCGGAATATTGACGTGAACAATTCGAATTCGCATACGGTGCCTTAAATCCAGATTTTCTTGTCCCTTAGGGGACACATGTTTCGTTTTTCTATCCTCTTACATACAAAACTATATAATTTAGAGGTTTTATTCCAAGCCTATTCCATATCTTAAGAGAAAGATATCAAAATCTTCACTTTGCATTTGAGAATATTCAAAGGCAATTTAATGCTTGGGATACACATTTTAAATCCAATAACAAAAAGTAGTTTTTGTAAGAGTAGTTAATTTTTGTTTAGATAAATCACAGATTAGAGGTTCTGCTTTTATTGTGAAATATTTGTTTTGTGAAGTTAGTTTTCGCTTCCACTATAACAGCAATTGAAAAACCCACCGCACAAACAATTAATATGTAGAGTTTGATTGAAAAAATATAATGAAGATTTCTAAGTGTTTAATAATTCCAAGAGATTAAAATTAATTTTTATTCTATGAAACACGGAGATGTAGTGTTTATTAGTTTTTGTTATTTTTTAAAACATTTTTGATAGGGATGATTTTTGTTGTTGTTAGTATATCAACATACGATATCTGAAAACCTTTCATGTATGGCGAGATAAGAAAGTTATTACCGATTTATTAATTATTAAATTTTTGCCGAATGAGAGGTTGCTTTCAGAACAAAAGAAATATTACTCACCATCTCCTTGACTGCTGCTTGCGAAAGTGTAGCAGTTTGGAGGCCTCAATTCGAGGTTCGGAGTTGCCATGCACACCATACACGTACTCGCTTTCACGCTTACGAGACCTATAATCAGAAGTAATTACAAAATTAGAAATTGCGATAATGTTCTCGCATCAATTGACATCCTCCGATAATTTTTCCCGACACAGTGAAATCCTACATTTTTAACGCAGTTGCTGTTACCATTTCTAGGAAGAGTTTATATATTTAAATGAATAAACTGGCATATAATTTTACATTTTTTCCCCTCAATAACTAAGTCTAGTATTCGCTCTCACCTATATCGTAGCGAGAAGATTCTACACCTCTGGGACGATACTCTTCGTGTATGGCGATGCTGCTAACATTCATTGGTGGTTTGGTTGACGATTCACCACTCACCTTCACGTTCTTCGTTCCTGCTTGATACAGACTGCAACCAGAGAGAGTCACATTAATACCTTATAAAAAAATTCCATATTGCAGGTCGTTATGTGATATTTGAAATTATACATTACTTATCTCTTGATTGTGTTCACAATTATGGGAATTACGTTTAGGATTTGAGGTAAGAGAACCTACCTTTAAAAGAACAAAATGTCCCAGTAATTTCCATTAATTTCTTTTCACATTGGAAACATTTGGAACTTTTTGGTAGACACTCTTGTTAACATAAGATAACGAAAATAAGTAAATTAAAGTTAGTTTTAGAAATGTGTTTATACTAATATTCTTTAGAAAACTGATCAAAAAAATACATTAATAAAAATAGCACTAATACGAAATATATGGCATTTACATTTTTTTCTGTGTAGGTAGATTTGTTTGCACTAACCTAATTGCACAGACAGCAGATGTAAGGATGAGATTTCCACTGATCATCGTTCCGTGGCAGAGGAAGTTGTCAAAACGTTCGTCCACAAAGCGAACCAACCAGCAGGGGTCATCGTGAATCGCGTCGCCTAGGCACACCGAAATTCTGCCATCGTTTTCCCATGACTCGTTCGTTGCTGGACGAGGAACCTTCGTAGAACTTGGTGTAGTGTTAGGCACAGTTGTCGGTTCGGAGGTTTCTTCGCTGGAGTTGTCTTTTTCTGTTTCGTCCTTCACTTTGATTTCTGTCTTGATACTCAAGTCAGGGATCAAAACTGTAGAGGAACTCAGTGCTTCATCTGACGGTGTTGTCGATTCAGAGTCCCCTGTGTTCGAACTCTCCTGACCGCTTTTGTCATGAACTTTTATCTCTGTTTCGATATCTATGTCAGACTGAAGAGACGCAGTGGACGATTCTCTCTCGGTTGTGAAAGTTGAAATTGTAGGAGTTAGGGTAGTTTCTTCAGCATGTTTTTCTGTGTCCGTTGTTGATATTTGATCAGAAGACTCAGTCTGTTTGCTAAAATCCATATCCTGCATGTCCGTTTGCTTGGTAGCTTCGGTTTGATCATCATACGACGTTGAGAGTGATAATGGTTCCGTGTAATTTTCATCTGTAGTGCTTTCAGAATTATCGTCGTCTGTCACCTCATTATTTTTTAAACTAATTTGCCACTCTCCTTCAGTTATGAGTTTAAGTATATCGTCCATCATTACACCATTATGTGTGAAAGAATCTACATTATTTTTACTATCATCTAAGCTAATGTGATTCTCGTCTGCATTACTGCTAGGTGATTTGGGATCTTCGGGCTTTGAGTGATGTTCATTGGTGTGTCCCTTAGAAGGTGAACTGACAGGGTATGTTGTATCCTGGGCAATATTAGTAGTTGGATTCGTAGTGATTTCAGTCACTGTAAATCCGGATTTCCCAGTGAACGCTCTTTGTTCATCTTCCAACTCGATTCTGCTTCTTTTGAGAGCTTTAGTTTCGTTAGGTTTCGTCTCCTCACTGTTGCTTTCGTCGATATCCAGCCCAATGGTGGTCCAATCAGTACCCGCGAGCTGAGTGGTCGTCTCTTCCAAGGTCTGCTCCGTGGCTCGATGTTGCACAGCGTCCGTGGCCTGCGAGCCTTCATCGTCGTAAGGCTCCGTCTGGGTGGGGGTGGTAGCGGCGGTGTCCGTTTCGGTGACGGTGGTGGTGGCGGCGGCGGCGGCGGGGTCCGCTTGGACGGCGGTGGCGTTGGCCTCGGCGCTGTACCGGCAGCAGACGAAGTGCGCGCTGGGCGTGAAGGCGGAGCGCAGGCCGTCGCAGTGGCCGTGGCGGTCGTCGGGCAGAAAGTCCTCGTCCAGCGTGCAGTCGTTGCCCAGCAGGCAGTAGCCGGCGCCCGCGCGGCACGTCTTCACGCCCATGATCACGAACAACCCTGCGCACACACCGCACGCCTTGCATGAAGAGCGCCTGTTAACGAATGCGGCTCGCATTGTGTTAATTTTCTGGGCGCCAATGTATTAATACATATAATTCGATTTTTCTGTAGCGACCGATTACATTAGGTCATTGTTACCTACCTCCTGCCTTATTAAATGCATCTTTTTAATTAATTCGCAATCATTCTTCTTAATGAGGCTCATGGCCTCAGGAATGTGCTTATCACTGTTTAAAATGTTCATTTTATAAGGCAGGAGATGTAACACTGATGTAATGTCATCGGCCTCTATACAAAAATCGAAGTATAGACGTGTTTATTACAAATGAAGGACATGTGGGGCAAGGCAATCCAAACCAGCCAAACGAAGTCTAACGATAATATTATTGTAAATGTTAATATCTTTATTTTGTTACAAATATCTCTCATATTCGTACTGCCCAAGCTCTTCCTAAATACTAAGACATACATCCACAAAATAATCCACATTATCTCTAAAATTGATATATTAATATTAAAGAATAGCTGGGGACTTATTATGCGTGGCGTGGCTTATCTTGGAACTGGCTATCTTGGCTCTTCAAATCTTTAACCTAGGGAAAGTAAGGAGTATATGCCCTATAATAAAAATTAAAATTAAATTTAGTAAAGATGGAATTTAAAAGCAGTAAACATAAGTGTACTGTAAAGCAGGTTTTGTAAGATGGCGCTTTACATGCGTATAAAACAAATCTGTAATTAAATGAACGGAGAGATGATACATTATTCCTTTAAACTTTCCTTGGCAGTGTTCTAATATTACAATGACGATGCAAAACTGGAACAGGTGTTGTATTTACATGAGTATTAATAATTAATCATTTATTATTTTTTATTGTATCTCGTTATTCGGCTTTAAGAGTATTTGGTGTGATAGCAAACATGTAATAGTGTTGAATTTATAGGGCAATTTCTTTCATTTCACTTTACAATACATGTATGCACTACATTATGTGGATGTACAATGTAGAATAGAAAAAAAATATATATTGCATCAAAAAATCGATAACGAAATTTTGTCGTAGATACGTTTTGGGGTTAATTGCTTTATCATTAAAAAATAATAGAAAATGTTGCACCCGTCTTTCACTGTGCCCCTACATGTGATAAATGGAACCACAAGAATTTTCATAGATAAAATCGTCTTCTTTATCTCAAAATATAGCTTGAGAATTAAAAAAAAGCAACATTTTAATCTTAATTAAGTTCCGATTAAAAGTAAAGTAAGACTGCTGGCTCTCAGTTACTCCTGATATTTTGGGTGCTGGAAAAAGTAATTTTATATCGTTTACTGATAATGATTAAAAATCTAAAATCCGAAGAAATAAAATAAAAAAAATCACATTGGAGCTATTTCTTAAGTTTGACACATCAAAATCTCCATCAACACATTTTTCTGTAATATTGTCCGTAAATAAGACTTCAAGATTGTGAAGTTTTATATCCTTCAAATATGCCAAAATGATGTCACCAATGAACAGAGTGAGTAGTCTTGTCGAACGTTTTCAGTTAAAGTTACATTTTCTCTTCTTCAAACGCATTGGACGAAACTAAATCTACATTGCCTGTATTTTAATTAAATTATGATAACTGTGAACCTGACCCCATAAACATTAGTTTTGGGCAGAGGTAATGTGGTTGGCTGTGGCGAACGCCCCGAAGGTATAAATGGGACTCCTTCCTTCCATTGTCAAACGTGAAACAGGAGTTTTAAAGCTAAAGTAGGTACGTATTACATTATAAATTAGATATAAACCGTTTCTTTTTTATGCCTTTCGCTCACCATCGCTTTTTTGTCAATAAAACGAGTTGTTCTATTCGTTATTATCCTTCATTGCTCCTTTCGTATATAGGAAAACATATTTAATTACCACGTCTGTAGGCAATACTCATTTACTTAAAATTCAAGTTATTGAGCTGACATGGTTCATCTCAGTATGTTTGTTATTAGTAAAACTGAAGAGCTTTTCTTCATATTATCCTTCGTGTTTACTCCTTATATTTATTATTTTAATAAAATACAAAACTCGCAGTTTTTTCCTTGTTTCCAAAAGATGAGTAATTACTAATGCATTTGAACATGGTAAACACTAGTAACACAGAACTTTTATTTTTGGATACACATGATTCCTGAATTGTATTACCCTTAAAATTGGACATGGTACTACATTGTAGACGACTCTGAGGGAAAGAAATTGCTTTATACAATATTCTTAGGATCTAATTTCATACTAAATGATACAGTAATTGTCACAAGACACGGTGTTGTTTCATAAGGCTCGACTTCAAACATATGATGAGAGTGGAAGAACACAAAATAGCTTGGGTTTAACAGCTATCAGAAAAGTTCTAGTCATTTATCATCATTGGCTGGTATCCTGTCCTGGATGTTTAATTTAAATATGAAAATATCCTTGCTTGTCTGTATAATGTGCTGCAAAAATTGCAACCGTTAATATTTATTCATGTTTGTTTCTTTTGTAAAAGTAGGAAAGGACTATTGTTCCTAACTATCGAAATGATTGCAGATATGCACTGCAGGATCTTCTTTTGATTTTTTTTGTAATTTTTCAAGCGATTGCTGAGAGGAAGTGAGAGGAAAAATTGCAGTAATATTACAATATAATATTAAGGAATCGTTCCCAATAATGCGAGAAAGTGGGTGCTGATATAGCACCTCTTGTTATTAAAAGCTATGATAATTGAACATCCATTTGTAGTGACAATTCTTTTTTTTTACATTTTCTACATTCGCGTAAAAATTCAATTCGTGGGAATTAGATGACTTGTGATTAGAAAGATTTTCTTTGAGAGTGGAAAGATATAAGAAGTTATCTCACAAAAAGAGCGTACAAATATTTACAAAATTCGATTATTTTTTCAATTTCCAAAACACGGAAATGGTGATATAAAATTGCGACTGTAGGTCAGTAGCCAAAAGTACATCAATATATTCAGGTAACGGAGAGACAAGCGGACCACATTCCAAGATAACCATACGAAAAAGTTGTTGAAATATAGCGGGTCCTTGGTGCCAAATTTGTCGTTATTTCCATCTCGTTAGTTCTTTTTCTCTTATTCTAAACGTGTAGAAATCTACTCCTAAATGATCACCTGATGAGAAGAGAACAGGTTAGAAGTAATTGCCATCTTGGACATTCCCCGTTGCCTGCAGAAAGAACCTGTTAACTGCTACTGGAACTCCGTGTCGGGAAGCATGTGCTTTGAGACTTATAAGGTAATCTTCATAGTGCCTTCAGCCGTGTTAGTTTCACAAGAGGAATGTCTTATTGTATGAATGTTCCACTCGAGTGGGTAGATATTGTACTTGAAAAGAGGTCCAGTGACTGCCCACCCCTACCCACCTAGCTGCAGTATTTTCGAGGTCACCCAGTACCAGTGGCGTAAACCAAAACGTTTGCAACATGCGCTACGTTGCCGATTACAGCGTTGCAACTAAATTGCTTTACTGCAGTCATAGGCATTCAGCACGATCTACTTGAGTAACCGGCTTTTCAAATAAAATGCAGGTCAACAGACGAGAGTAAGGTGTTATGCCAAACTAGAACACATTATGCGCAAAGAAATAGTGTAATGTTTGACAGTATTCAAATACCAGTAGTAGACAACTTCTGCTATATTTGCATTATGTCTATGATAATACATCAAAAGCTAACAAATATATCCAAGGCTCTTGTGTAGGGTGATTGTAGAGGAGCGTGTGTACTCTTTTAATATAAGCAAAGTTCCTGCAGGAAAAATTAACATTTTCATCGTTAGGTTAAAGACAAACAGGAGTTAATGTTACTTCACAGTCGACACTGAGTTTCCATCGTCGGAACATTTGAGGGTTACGTACAAAGTGAAAGGCGTTTCGAATGGAAGGGAAATGTTTTACCTTAATTTTGCGATTATTTTCCGTTCTTCCACGTTTGCTCGTAATGTTTGGTTTGAAAATTGTAAGCAGATAAAAAATAAGTGTCGATATTGATTTATTTCCAGTGTCAATATTTGTTTATTTATTTATGTTTACTTATATATTATCTTAATTTTTCATACGTACGGATTTTTGTCCAAATAAGACTGAGAGAACACTTTAAAATAAAAAAAATTATGTTATAGTGTTGTCAATTTGAATGAGTGTACATTGTACTCGCAAATGCTGAGGCATTATTTTCAACCATTAAGCGTAATGTTGCAGGCATTAGAAATATATGCCGAATCTATTCCATTTTGAGTTTGACCTAAACGTATCGAGGAAGAGTTAAAACTTATTGTCCGCCAATTCGAATGAGTGTAAATCATAATTTCAATCGCTAAGACTTTTTTAAATATAAAACGTAACGTTGAAGACACTTCAAAGAACTTTCATTCACATCAAATTATTATTCATTTTCCAAGGAAGCCGCAGATCACTGACCAACGAATGAGATGTCACTTTAATGGGTAAGAAAAATAAGAAATTGGTGAAATGCAAAAGAGATGAATGAATGAAGAAAAATTCGAGGGGTATCGGGGAACAAACTAGCTTCGGGAGTCTTATTTATTTCGCTGAACAGCCTCGCAAATACTGCACTCGAACGACATCTGAAGAAGTGTGTCACTTCTCCGAAGCACCAGCATGGAATGCTGCCTCGTCCCCACATAACAGTGCTTCGTTAACGAGGGAGCAAATGGGCCCGTCCTGCGCCCCGCCTCCCGAGACGCGGGGACAGAGGGGGAGAGGAGGGCTCTCTGCGCACTTGGGCACTACCGGTTCGCACTACACGATCTTTTATCCATTTGGTTTAGTCCGCAAGATTTAAAAGAAATGTGAATGTTCCCGTTGTTATTGCTATGCCGGTGTCAAAAGCTGCAATGAGGAGTTAAGTTAAATCTATTCCTGATACATCTGGGTGTTTCACAGGATCTTCTGTAAGCAAAAATTTGTCTTAAAAGACAATCAATATAATAGTTTATTGTTGGTTTGGTATTTTCAGTATTTTGTGATGTAACATGAGTATTTGCCACTTAATTGAGTTCACTTTCGAAAATAATTGTATTTCATTTCATTCAAATTTTTGTATATTTTACTTACAATTAGTCACATAAATCAATAAAAAGTAAAGATCAGAATTTTACTTTGAAACAAATTACCAATGCGCACCCAAATTATGATATTGAATATACATAAATTTTTACCAAGAATTTAAACGTAAGCCACTTTTATCATCGAGTATCTCCCCATGGCTTGTCCAAACATTCATTCGCGCAGTAACTTCTGTCGTATTTGCGGTTTCAGAAGTGTGTTTCGAAGAAGTGCGAATGGCGTGGGTCGTGCAGTTCACCGTTTTGCCGCTCGCGAGGCGCTAAATAACACGTTACTGCGCGCGTGCACCGCATGGCCTTATCGCCTCGCGCGCGCGGGCGACGCCTCCGAACCGTTAGGCGCGAATGCGCCCCTCCGCGGCGCCGCGCCGGCCCAGCTCTCCGCGCCGCGCCGGCTGCAGGAAAAAGAAAGAGGCGGTTCGGCCGGCGCTGCCGAACCCGCGCTCTTCAGAGGATCTCATTGGCAGAGCGACGGCTCCCAAAAGATTCCCGAATCTCCCGACACTCTCCGATCCTAAACAGATTAATTGGTTATTCATATGTTAGAGCGAAACATTGTACAAGGAGAAAATGAGTACTTTCGGTTTTAGTTTCATTGCAATTAAATTTTTTGTTTTGTTTTTGTTCAAGATAAGTATTATTTTTGTTTTTAAATATTTATCTTTGATCTTTCACAATCCAATTTATTTACTTCAAAAACAGTTAAAAACTGTGTGTGACGTGCTATGGGGAGAAGTTAATTTGAAGTGACATTTATGTCCAGTAGCATAACAAGGGGCCATCTTAGCATTTGCTCAAGGATCAGGGAAACTGGTCGAAAACCTGATCGAGATGGGTCGAAATGATCGGGATCTTTAATTTGAGGTTGTCCCACCACAAGAGTTGTGAAGTATCTTGCAGTTTGTTAGCTACATTTCACATGGCGACTGTTACAGGAGTTTTCCTTTTCCTATGGGGTAACGATAGTTCGAGAACGGGGCATTCAATTACCAACATTTAACTTTGAAAAAAAAAATAACTAAGTCATTACTTTCCTACCGAGTGTCTCATGTCGTCAGCACTGTCAGTGTATCCTCTCCTCTTTTTGAGCTTGATGTGATTAAAGTAATCCTCTGTGTAAGAACAGGCATTTCATATTTTACTGTAATTCCCCCTATAGTAACTGCTAAGAAACTCGAACGTTCTTTCATCATTTTTGAAATTTAAGAAGTGGCAACCCGGGGCAAAAGAACTAGATTGAAACATTGATTGATGAATCCCGGCGCGTCAACGGCAGTCATTAGTCCCGTTAGTGTAGTGCATGTTTTTCTCACGGGTAGTTATATCTCGCTGGCTGGCGAGATTCGGTACCGAACTTCTTGACGGTTTGCGGGTGTTTTCCCAACCAGGTATCTGCCACCAGCGTGATTGCGCTCTAGCCGCTACAAGCTGTACGCTCCCGACCGGCCTCCCAGCATGTGTGGTAGTGTAGTGCAGGTGTTTGTGTGTAAGTAAGGGGTGAGGATAGGACAAGAAGGAAGAGGAAAGAAAAATCGTGCGCGTTCCTTGGCTCGTTTGTTAGGGTTCTGCTTCTTCAATCGCCTGACGTTGATAGGATAAACCGTAGAAAACTGCTGATCAGAACTATCGGAACTCCCGATTCTTCTCCAGGCAGCTAAAGAATTGGACCTAATAGACAAGCTAATATCACAAATTCTACCACCGTCGTGACTCGAACCTTAGACTCTCGCGGTCAGAGGCACTGCAGTTGCATCAAATATCGCCCTGAGCCCCCTCCGTCAGCAGCAATGCAAGACCGACAGGAATGATGTGCCAGGGAACTCACCCGGGTCGACGATGGGCAGAGCGTTGACCGTGGCGGGAGGTCGGAGCTCCACAGCGGCCACCAGGAGCGTCAACAGCAGCAGCGGCGGCAGCAGCGGGGGCGGCGGCGGCGGCAGCGGCGCCATGGCGAAGCTGCTCTGGGAAGCCTCTCGGCCGCCGCTGGGGCGCCGCCTGCAACGAAGCCCAACGCCCACGCACCGGTCATTTGAAGAACAGACTCACTCGCTTCCTTTTGACGGTCTCGTCCGGAGTTTTAGCGCATGCGCAATACGGCTACTGGAACAACGGAAGCAACACTTCGCATGCGCGCATACGCGAAAACACCGATCAACTCGGACAATCGTTCGACAAAGGGAAGCATATGAATCGGGTCTCCCAGGCAAACACTAACCAACGACGTAACCCAGCGGAATTTTACCTCTTAGTTCTGTTTCATCGTTCAGTACTTTTATTGTTCTAACCTTTCTCAACTACGAGTGATAGTTTCGTCTTCAAACGGTTATCCAATCTAAAAAAAAAAAGAAATTAAAAAATCGAAACCGTCGCGATGCGTAATAGCTGCTGGAAAACTCCGGCGTTCGCTATCAGCTAGGACTGCCCAGTAACTCGTTGAAATCGTAAGCTTCTACTAGAGGAAGAGAAAAGTGCATTCAGGGCAACAGAGATGTTGAACCAGTTCTTTAAAAAATAATGTGGCCATGTGCGTTCCCACTGAAAGGATCACAAGTACAGAAAACGTTCAAAATATAATGCCCATGGAATACCTCAAAAACTGAAAATATTTTACAACAAACTTACATATAATAACATTAATACGTACATACATATCTGTGGCTTTGTGCAATAAGGACCAATGTCAGTTTTTAGTGATAGCCTGTTTATATGGCCAACGTGTACTTTAAAGTTCTTTCAGTGCAAGAAAGGCCAAAGTCAAAAGTCGACCCTATCTGATTTTACTATCGATATTTAAATTGGCCTAAGATTCTTTTATCATTTCCATAATGTAAGAAACCCATCCATTCAATGAAATTTTAAAGATTGGCATTTGCCCATCTTGCATCAAGCTACAGATAGTGTTAGTTGTTAAATATAAACAAAAATCCTCAAGTATTTCGCAGTTTATTGTGGGGACCGTCCATGACTTCCACACTTATTGGTGTTCTCCAAGTATGGTGTAAAACAATGCGATAAAAACTTAGTATAAGCTTTGACAGTATGCAAAGACTTGTAAGATTGAATATAATTAATTTTTGAAACATATTATCATTAACCATGACGTTAATGTGGGTTAATGAACTAGTTTCATCAGCCTTGGTGCATTTACTCACAAATATTCACATTACTCACGCCTTAAGATTACTCACGCAATGAGATTACTCACAAGTATGAAACCAGACATCCAACGCCTCACAGAACTCTCACAGCGGTGCCGGCAACCTCATTGCCTACTATCTGCCATGTTGTTCTGTGATAAAGATTCTTGCACGTCTTGCAAAGGAAACGCACGTGTCCTGAAGAACAAAGGGCGGGCGTACGTCATTCATTCGGAAGTACACTTGGTGAAAGTCTCTTGGGTACCGTTTGTAACCCGGCACGTGACTCATGCCCAATGTTTGCATCGGTCGGCATAACAGTTAGGTCAGCGAAGTCCATCCTCGCGTGGAAACTTCCAGGTGAGAGGATAGAAACAGGAAGGAACAGCAACAGAATGGAGGAAAAGGGGAGAAAACGATGTAAAGAGAATGAGTGGGTGAGAGATAGTAGAAAATAAAGGGAGAGGGAAAAGAAGGAATTCGATAGGAAATTTTTACGAGAGAATAGAGAAATTGGGGTACATTTTTTCGAGACACGTTTTTACTTAATAGAATTGCGCACGTCTATTTGTTTATTATAATGTAAGTTTCGTTTAAATGTTATCTACTTCAAGATACCTCTTAATTAGATGTGTATTATTGCTTTATGGATTTCGAACATTGTCAATTCACAAATTAACAGTATTTTTTTAAATTTGTGCCTCTTGTCTCTTAAACTGTAGTTAACTTGATTGAATGACGTGGATAATGAACCATTTATTCATTATTTCTTATTTTAATGAAAATAAGTTTTACCTTTATAGACTTTGCCAAATTTTCACAAGCCTCGCTATTTCCGAAATTGAACCCAAATGCAGAAGAAGAACTTATTAAAAATTGTCGATTAGTAGTCATTTTAATATTAAAACAATAAGAAAATTATTCCTAAATTAAATATAAAAATATAGTTTGTGTATTGTAACATCATAAATTTCAAATATTAAGTTCATTGATCTATACATGATCATTAATAAGAAGACGACTTTTCTGTGTATTTAGAGAGGACAATGGGCTGGACAGATTGACTTAGAAATGGTCTTGAATTGAAGATCGTGGTTCACAAGTAAACAAACTACATGAATCAAAAATATTTTTCTCTAAATATTAATAATTTATTACAACAAAAAATGCAATTTTGAAACTACTACAAGCGCCCCTATATGCGCGCTGTAGCGAGCAGCGAAAGCTTTCCTTCTACCCTGGGTGGGCGGCATGACACGTCAACGCGCATGTGGTGCGTGGGGTCTTCGCAGGCTGAGGCGAGGGGTGGTGAAGCGACTGGGTGCTGGGCTGGAATTGGTTCGTATGTCGGCAGCAGAGTCGACGGAGAAGATAGGGACATGGGTTGATGCAAAAAGTATAATTTAGGGATGAGGGCGATTTCAATTCGGACACATCATTAACATACAATAGAGTCCAATTGTGCCACATTTCTCCCTAGTACTATTAATGTTGCATGCCGAACCACTAAAAAAATTTATACGCATTCATTTAAACTACTGTACTTCATATGCACTTACATGTGAATTTTGGGTCCAGAATATTTATTTTTTAATGTTGAGATGTTGATCATATTTGAAATATTTCTTTAAATTGTTAGCTTGAAATAAAAGAAAATTACGAGTATACTCACTACGGGAATTCCGTTTAATGGCATAAAAATAAATATGTGGTAATTATTTTAAATAAATCGAGCAAAATTTCAAAATATTGTTGGCTTGAGAGAGCATGTCTCCTGTGCTTCCTGTGTCCGCTACTGGGTAGGCTTAATAAAAGGCTTTCATAAAAGGAAATGCACATCATCAGGGTAGGGCCGAATACATCGGTTCGGTAGGTTTTCGAACTGTGATTGTGAATTGTATTAGTGAACAACAGCGGCATATAAACTGTATACACGTTTTTCAGCAAAATGGGTTTTCCCAAATCGATAAAGCTCTTGTTGCGGGTCCTGGAATTTTATACGGATCTTTTAATTTTTGGACGTACTTTACCTAGAGCTCTCATACAATATATTTAAATAATTTTCACAAGGATATTTTCTTTAAAACGTTTGGATTTTCAAAAACTAAAAACATGTAGTTTTGGGGAGGGAAAACAAACCGTTGAACTACCCGAAACCTACGTTCTCCATAAAGGTGAGGCAAGTATATGCTAAATCTAGCAAATACTTTACGAGATGGGACGATTAGCAAGATCTTTTGTGGTTCATTGAACTGATCCCCAAGGGAAGTTACTGACTGTCAAAACATGCAATAGAGCTCAATTGTGCAACATTTTGCACGGGTTCGGCAAGTACTATTAATGTTGCATGCTGAACCAGTAAAAAATCTATACGCATTTATTTAAACTACTGTACTTCATATGAATTTACATGTGAATTTTGGGTCCTAAATATTGTACATGATCTTGTACATGATCAAACAGTTCAGATGTATTCTTTATAAAACAGGTTCTAAAATCTAAAGAGTTAAAGACAACAGATGTTGGTGGATGTTGCTATATATTAGATACACTTTCATTAAATTTTTAAACATCAACATTTTTGTCTTGTTGTATGAAGTATTGTTGTCATGAAGGTATATAATATTTCTATTTGAAGAGTATATTTTGTGTTGTGAATCCGATGTAATTGTGCTTAGATATATTCCCTCCCCCTAGATTCTCGTTAGTGAATCATTCTCCTCAAGACAACCGCGACCGCCCCGTCCAGTGTGTCCGTTGTGGTCGTTGCTGGCGACGACCTCTGCCGTGCCGCCGCCCCGCCTTTCCTCGCTCCGCCTCACCCACCTCACCCGCCTCGCTTCGTCGCCCCCCCTCCCACCATCGCGCATTCCGCGCTTGGCGCCTCGCTTGACACGCCCCCACCCGCTACTCGCCCTTGGCTCCCTTCCAACGCCCGCCCCGTCCCGCCCGCCCTGCCCCGCCGCGTCTGCGAGAGCGAAATCCTGCTACTAACTTAGGCGTTTGTTGGTCTTTCGTTATCGCCAAGGTTTAAACAAACAACGGGCAAGAAGTACGAAAGGGACACTTCCCAGGAAACCCCTCTAACATGTGGGAGTTACATTGCCGCGAGAAACAAAAAACCTTGGATAGAATATCACATGTGACCCTCATTTGAAGAATCAGGTATTAAGGGATTGGTAGAAAGTAAATTGGTGTGATTTACTTTCTATTACAATTTCCGAAAGTAGTTCGTATTCGCGTAGATTTTGTTGTTTTGTTTGTACGAAAGATGGGTCTACAGTATGTACTTAAAATACTGAATGTTTGATAGGTGACAAAGAGCATGGGAACCATGACATCGGCTCAGGGAAAAATAAACAAAGTGGAACCTCTCGTAATATCTCGGAGTTACTCTCTTCCTTAAAAGACGAAGTGCGGATGACGTTTATTACTAGATAGGTCATTCGGAAATTAAAACCTCTACTCTGGAGTATGAACTTTACTAAACGAAAGTAGGCACATATTTATAAGACAGTAGCAGAGAGTATAAGAACATATAGAGGTAAATCGTGGGAATTGAACAAAAGAGATAAAAGCAGGTTGATTGAAATAGATTAGTGAAGAAGGAGCTTCCTTGTGTCTAGGTTGGTACACATACGAAATGAAACAATAAAACAAGTGATGAACATAGAGAACATACTTGTGGATTCAGTTAGATCTAAATGGCTGAATTGGTATGCACATATCCAACGCTTGGACAAAAAAGTGTAGATGACACGGTATATCTCCAAGAAAAAAAGACATGGAAA